ACACGGACTGCACAGAGGAGAATACATCAAGAATGTAGAGCAACGGATAGAGGACTACGACCCAGCAGGGAAGGGAGCCGATCAGCTTTTCACGGACATCAATACCATCCTCGTAGAGACCGCCCAGCAGTACTACAGCCAGGCGCCGAAACCGACCGACGACTACGAGAGGCTCCGCAACGAGCGCATGCAGCTACTAAGACAACGCAGAGCAGCCCGATCAGTACTTCACGAATTACACGCCGCTCATCATGAGGCTAGATGCACGCCAGCTCCCGAATCGTCGCCTCCCCCGTTTTGCGCGGACGTGCTCGAATCCAGGGGCCCTCCAGGGGCGGTCGCCGACCCGCCCAGGACCCAGGAAGGGACAGATATGGAAGGCAACCCATACGCCACAGACGAACAACCGATCACGGAGACCGAGCAGCGCATGCGCGAGATCGAGAAAAAACTTCAGGACATCACGAAGACATGCCAACGACAACGACGACGCGCACAGCAACTACGCACAGAGCGACGAGTCGAGGAACTATACGAGGCGTGGGAGGAAAGGGATTTGGCAAGAGTTGGGGGACTATCACGATTGATCGCGGGAGGAAGATACGGACCACGCAAGAGGGACTTCTGGACGGCTACGACGGCGAACCCCACGAAGCAGGAATGGCCCGACTTTTGCCAACTACCAGGTGGCTCTGGCGGCGTGGAAGGCACCGAGCAGGACGCGCAGCATCTGGGGGCCATCCCGCACGACGCCGAGGAGAAGGACTACGACGAGGATGATTTGGAGGAAAAGATAGAGGAAGACTACAACGAGATTGCCAAAAGCTTCAAACGAGCACGCCTACGACGAGCAGCACCACCAACGGCGGCACCAGCGGAGATATGGCGACCACTACTTTGCCCACCGAAGACGGAACACCAACCACGCCAACGACACGGCCTCGGACATCAAGAGGGAGATGGAGAACCCGAACAGTTTCAAGCATTATTGAAGGCGGCCTTGGCCGCGATACGCATCAGCAACGTGGCACCAGTTCGGTGACATCGAAGCACGGCGACGGCGGTTAAGAAGAACGCGAAGAAAGGACCAGCAGGCAAGCAAATCTACCACATCATGGACCACATCGGCAAGGCATACTACGCTGCGGGACTCAGGAGGCATCGACAACAGACCCACACGGACCAGGACTACGGATTCATCAAGGGGCGACGACGGGGAGGAGCCATCCTCACCATGTCAGTCATCGAGTACAGGGCTCGCAACGCAGGCTACAACTACGCGTCCACCATGAAGGGCATGTCCAACGCGTTCGCCAGCTGCAAGTGGCTTACCATGGATGCGGCCAACAGAAACATCATGCCGCAGGACCTCTGGGACCTCGGAGAACAACGATACCGTAGGGCTACGTTCAACATTGACTGCAGCGACGACATGCAGGGAATATGCATCAAGCCCCACTGCGGCGGCCTCATCGGCGACCCCTACATGGCGCGCAACTTCGTAGCCAGCTTCGCCCCTTGCATCCAGAGGTGGACCAAGGACTGCAACGACGAGATAGAGTACGACGAGTTTCTGTATGGAAGAAGCGAACTGTTCCAACATCCAGTATACGTGGGGCTGACGAAGTACGCGGACGACATGCGCAAGATCATCTTGAACGGGAAACAGGCCGATCCCAAACTGCTCGCCGGCCAGGCTCACAAGATAGACGACGCGCTGAACAGACGCCTGAGCGAGATCGGCCTGAAGCAAAACCAAGATAAGCAGGAGACGATAGTACACTTTCAGGGAGGGCGCCAGCCAGGCGCATCAACGAATCAAGAAGGACCCGCAATGCAAGCTTCCAGGCAAAGTGGTGGCGGTGGCTCGGTACCTGGGCCCTCAAGTAACATCGACGCAAAGCTACCGCCCAGAGCTGCAGAAGCGTATCCAGGCCATGAAGAAGAGCTACTACGAGCGCGGCAGGTTCTGGACCAAGCGAGAGATACCCTACAAGTGGAAGCGCGCGGTCCTCATATGCAGGGTCATCAACACGGGGCTTTCGTGCATCGAGTGCTACTTGCCCACGCCCAACGAGTGCCAGATGCTCCAGAGCGCGATGGGCGCCCTCCTGAGACGGGCGATGGCAGGCCGAGCCAGCACCCGCAGCGAAGACGGCTCGGTGCGTAGTTTGACAACGCTGGAGGTCTTCCGCTACTGGCAGATCCTTCCTCCAGCGGAGGAGGCACTGGTCCGCAGACTTGGCTGGGCAAAAAATATTGAGATTCCCGAGCAATCACCGCCAACTCATCGTCGCCTTGTTCGGGCGCCTCGAATTCGAGACCAACGATGACGGCGCAGACGAGCTGACGACGCACACGAACCCCTGGGCCCGACGGATCGAGGAGGATGCCACGATGGCCTGCCAAGTCTCGGAGAGCTTCAGAAACATCTTCGGGGAAGAGCAGGTCAAGATAGGTAAGATGTTCACGCTAGTGATTAGAGAACAACTGCACCTACTAGACGTACGCGAGGTCAGAGCAGCTAAATTGACGGTAGCAGTTCCTCCTCCAGGCTATACTCCCGACGATGAACTCCGAGAAGACGTAGCCCTTCAGGACCTCCAGCCTTGGAAGTGCTCGCTCGGGGACGATTCCGGGGAATGCGGACTACTGTTCGCGAGCAAGAAAGCACTACACAGTCATGTTATTCGGAATCATAACGTTCACAATTTAGCCGCTCTACTAACTACGAACAACGAGTGCATCAATTGCTATCAGTGTTTCACGAGCCGTGGAACAGCCTGGAAACACCTGGCCAGGAGTTTGACCACGGGCAGCTGTAACCCAGCCAGGACACGAAACCAGAGCCAACCGACTAAACCGAGCACGAACTGTCCTCTCTGCAGCCATCTCTTCTTAGACAAGGGCGCCTTCTTCACACACCTGTGCACGCATCTGCCCAGACCACTACTGCGACCTCAGGCACAGGATGGCGCTCTTCGACCAGCGCCCAGCCTGGGCGCCAGCGGCGGCGGCAGGAGGACCTCAGCGACCAGACCGCAGTCGACAACCACGACAAGCTGCCTCAGGAGGAGCACCAGTGGGGGGAGGAACAGCGGTGGCCAACCCGCACATAGTGGACCTCACAGCGCGCCTCACCCTCACGCTGGCGCGCGAGCAGGCCGAGCTGGCGTCGGCCGTCATCCAGGCGCGGGAGATCAGCGCGCAGAGCGGCATCGCGCAGGCGGTACAGGCGGGCCAGACGTGCAACGACGACGCGCAGGACTTGCGACGCAGAGCCGCAGATGGAGAACAAGTGGACACGGCCTCGCTCGGCAGCCCCCACATCCGCGCGTGGACCGAAGTGGTGGACTACATGGGGCGCGCGTACGACGCAGGAGCGGAGAGAGACTACCTCGAGAAGTACTACAAGGACGTCATATTGAGTGGCAGCGCGGAGAAGGTAGCAGACGGCATCCCGATCTTCCGCGTTCGCAGGAACAAGGGCAAGGAGGGGGGCGCCACGGAGAAGTGCAGGTTCCAGTTCCAGGTGAAGGCAACGGACACGCAGCTGGAGACGATCCTCACGCGCGCCCTCCGCAAGGAGGGAGCGAGCCGCAAGATCGGGGCGGCGCCACGTGGAGCACTGGAGCGAGAACTGGGACGTCTCGTCAACAGCTGAGCCAGAACGATACGGAGAGAGGAGCGGCGCATAGTGAAGTGACTGAGCGGACGGTGCGGCTCTGTTCTGTCCCAGCGAGCGCGGCCCCTCAGGCCATCCCGCGAACTTTTCTCACCAGCGCACGATTTCACGAGCTGGTCAGGGAAGGCCGCCTCCCCCCTCCTCCGCCTCCGACTGGGACTCCCGACCTTCTCCAACTCCGAGGCCCGAGTTTTCCCAACTATTTTGTCGTGCGCCGACCTCCCCCACCCCCGCCCGAACCGAAGCGAAAGGGAAGGGGAAAGGGGCGAGGCAGACGAGGCAGGGGAGTAGAGGAGACAGCGAGAGGGCACTCGTAAAAGCGGGTGCTACCCTGCCCGCAGACCCCTGCGCGGGGGAAGGTCGGTGCAGGTAGGGCCCGAGCGTCTAAGTGGCGCCCGCGACCCCCTTTCAGCAAAGTGACCTCAGCTAGGCCACACAATTTTAGTAAGCAGCTCAGCGCGTAGCGATAGTGCAGCACCGAACCGGCCCGAGAGCTCGATCGATCGATCCTCCTCCTCCTCCTCCTCTCCTCCTCCTCCTCCTCCTCCTCCTCCTCCTCCCCCTGGGGGTCCCCGTGGAGGACAGAAAACAGCTGCCGACAGCTCCCCCCATGGCGCGCGCGCGGGCCCCCACGGCCACGCCGCAGCGCGGGGCAGCTGGGCTTTGTGCCGGGCATCTCGACGGTGTTGCCTTCACCCCCGCCCTTTGATAGCAAATCATTCTGCACGAACGACATGGGTACGGAAAGAATGGGCGCATCCGGGGAGCCCGCAGAGGACGTACGCGCCCAGCTGCGTACCTGAACACGGCCCCTCGACCCGCAAACACGGATCGCTAATCCATGTTTGCGCGCCCCCGATCTGCACGAACGAAATGGGTACGGAAAGAATGGGCACAATGCCCAACAACAGTTCCTGTTCATTGTGAGCAGGACTCGCTGTCCGCGCCGCCGCGGCCTGTGTCCGTTTGAGACAGGAGGCCGCCTGCCCAACAGCGGCCGCTGTTGGTTTGGGACAACATTTGTTGTTGGACATTGTGCACATTCTTTCCGTGCCCATTGCGGGCGTCCAAAATTACGGGACCCTTGTATGTCTTCGTCATCCCGACTTCAGAAAGCATGAGCGTTCGCTAGTGTCCATTGATCGACGAGAAGGGCTGATGTAGCGTCGGCCAGTTTCGAGTAGCGCCGACTTCAGCGTCGATCAGCGCCGATTCAGCATCGATTCACGTTGATCAGCGTCGAGTGGCAAGAGCCAGCAAGATGGTATGGCAGGCTCCCACGAGTTGCTGCAGCGCCCGCCATCGACATTCCGAGGCCTGGACCGCGTTGGCATCAAGGGCGCCGCCGGGAGGAAGGGGCTCTGGCTGCGCAAGGACCCCTCGGAGGTGGCCGCACCCCGCAGCGGAAGTGCCGGGGGGGGGGGAGGCGGGCGTAAGGCAGGCCCAGGGGGCGGCATGCCCGGGCCTCTCGGCGTGGCCTCTGGAGGGGCTTCGGAGGGTCTCGACATCGTGTGGCGCCCGGCCCCTATCAGCCGAAAAGGTATGCGACCCAAGAAGTTGCCCGAAGCTGCGACCGAAAACGCAGTGCGGCCGAAAGCGTTGCCGACATCGAGCATCCGATGGGTCTCGAGGCAAACGATTTCGGTCACGCTCGGGCGCACTCGAGACACTTCGGGCGCAGTTCTCGGCCACACTCGGGCAGATTTTCGGACACAGTCTCGGTCACAACGACCCCCTGGTAGAGACGACGCTGCGTGATCGATGTGTACTCTCCGGGCCCTCGTGACGGGGGTTGGCGCGAACGGGGGTCAGCCAGCCCCCTCTGGCGGATCCCAGTTTGGGAGCCACGTGGGGCCGATTCCGCTGCTCCGCCCTCCGCTGACCCGGGCTCGCGAGCTGCTGAGCAGCGCGCCCGGCTGCACGACAAGGCCCCGGCCGACCCCGGGAGGGACGGGCACAGGCCCGGGTCAGGGCTCGTTCCAGGGGCCCCTTGGGCGCCTACAGCTGACCTCAACCTCGGCTTGGGAAGCAAGGGCCCAGCCACTTTCAGCTTCTGTGGCCCCAGTGGGGGAGGGGTATCATGAGCCCACCCTCAACAGGGGCGGAGCGCCCAGGCCTCGGCGTGGCCTCCGGGGGGGGTCTTCGGACGCCACGTCGTCTGGTCGGCGAGGAGACCCATGGAGATTTTGGCGAAGGAGCTCGGTGTGCAGCCGGCCCAGCGTTCCGCAGGATGGGCAGCTGTGGCGCCTGCGCATCGAGCTCCTTGGCCGATCAGAAGGCGTGGCGCACACATCCAGCCCCACACATCCTGCCCCTCCCTGGGCTCCAGGGGCCTCGGCAAGGGCTGGGGCCGCGATTAGCATTAAGTCGGGCCCGTCCCTCTACAGGAGGAGAATTCAAAAATAGTTGAAAAATAGTCGGGGGACGAATTTTGTTAGTATTTTGGTGCATGTCCTGCGCATTTTTTGACGATTTTACATTCTTCGTCCAAAATCCGCCTGTAGGGGGGCACGCCCGACCTAAGATTAGCACATGCGCCTCACCGGAAGCATCAGGCCGCCGTCGCCGTGGCGCGGGGCATTCCTCTGCGGCCCGACGTGCGGCCGACCAGTGGTGTTTCCCTGAGCAGCACCATGGTTGTCCTACAAGGTGCCGCCATCCATAAAGGTCGGGTGCATTCAATGGAGGGTGTTTCTTTCGGCCACGCGCAGAGGGGGGAGGGGGGATGGGGGAGGGCTTCTTGGAAGCACCCCTGATTCTTAGAAGGCGCGGGCCTTATCTGTAGATGTAGAGCCGGCGCCTTCTAAGAACCAGCCTCATTCTAAGAAGCCCTCCCCCATCCCTCCACCCCCTTGTGTGCGCCGCCAATTATGAGAGTCTCGGGGGGCGCTCTCAAGGCTTTACGGTTTCTCTCAAAGTGCTGGACCCCTAACAGGATGTTTTTTGGGCCTGGTCAGTTGCCCTGGCAGAACAGAACTGCCGTCAGTGCGGTGGGTTGGCACCGCCCAAAGGGTTCAGGAAGGATGAATAGATTCAGCCACAAATATCGTCGATTCCAACGACGCCGTAGGAACACATGGGAAGTGGAGGGAAAGACAAAAATCCAGAAGATATGCAACAATGTTTGGAATCCTGGGATTTGTGTCTATTCATGTGTGTCCCTGGGCCCCTTCAAGCGTATGAATTTGGCTCTTGGCCCTGCGCTGTCAGGCGGCGTCCTGCCAGCATGGCATCTTTTTCTGATCCAAGCTGCAGTCGGACGAGGGCTCGGGAACGACCAGCAGGGACAGGTTTTTCGGGGGGAACGGACGACAGGCTGTAAAGCACCTTGGCATCGCTCAGACGCTGCATTTTGCCCTGGCGAGGACAATCGAGGAGCATCCTGGCTGATCTTGCGAAGAAGTAAACGCACGAAACCCACACATGCACGGGGAATGCACGTCCGAGCGATGGTGAGGCACCCCCGCATGTCTTTCAGTCGACACAGATCATGCCACGCTGTCGGTCTGGATCTCTTGTGGGACGGCCATGGCTCTGCTCGCATGCATGGTTCCTCGGCCCTGCCGTGCACATCTGGATAGCGTTCTGCCTGGCCGTATCGAAGGTTTGAGGCCCTCCGACGGGTGTCGTCGCAGCTGCGAGGGAGTGCCCCGCACTCGCCGACTCCGCCGGGGTCCTCCGAGGAGCATGCTGGGACTTGGGCGCTCCACCTCCTAGGAAGACGTAACCAGAGCCAGACCGAAAATGAGGGAGTTCCCCTCGGGAAAACCTATACCCTCGAGGGGAAAAACTAAACCCTCGAGGGAACACCTAAACCGTCGAGGGAGCACCCCTCCAGGTCGGTCGTGGAATTATCCCTCGAGGGAAAGCCTAAACCAAGGCTAGCGTGCTTATGATGGCGGTTGAGAGATGCCAAGGGGGGCCGTCACGCAGCAGCGCCCTGGGCGATGATGCAGGCATTAGAAGCGCCGTGAAGGGTGCGTTTTGGCCATGCCGCTCGGGAACCGATATACCATGAGATGTGTGTACTGTGCGTTCGTTTTTGACGTGCTCCTTCGATGGGACGCACCGGGACAGACTAATACTATATGTTCTCCTTGGAGGCGCGCGTCCGATCTGAACATCTAGTATACCCATCTTGTAGTATATCGTTTCCCGAGCGGTGTGGCCAGAAAGCGCCCGCCACGACGCATATACTATAAGATTTCTCGGTGCGCGCGTCGCCCCTGGGGGGCGCCGCACATTTAGTATAAGTATGTTGGGGTAACGCCGATCCAACATCAGCACATCGCACCAGGGGTTGAGATTCTCAGATCGCCCTCACCAAACTTGCTTCCCAGCGGTAGAGCATTGCAGTCAAGACGCTGAGGCAAGGAGCAGTTCGGACTCGAAAGGGGCCTGCTGTCCCTTGGGCCCCTCAATGGCTGTTCCTCTCGTGCACCCAACTGCTTTTGGTGTCGGAAGCGGCGTCGTTCCTGATTCGGCGTTCCGAATGGTCGTGGCTTGACATCAGATTCCTAAGTGCTCCCCCATATCTTGTTTGACTGGCATCCTACATCGGGTCGCCCCTTCCTCCCTGGTCTGGTGTTGGTTTCCCTCTCATCAACTCGGCGGTGCTTCAAGGAGGAAGGCAGAGGGAGCGGGCCTTCTCATAACCTTCTGAGAATCTTTCTAAGCCTTCTCCTTGGCATCGCTCTGACGTGTGCATTTTTCCTTCGGTGAGGACCATCGATGAGCATTGTGGGCCATCCATCTTGCGAAACATACACGCGCGATGCCGAGAAATGCGCGGGAATGGACGTCCGAGCGATGGCGAGTCCCTTGCGCGCCAACCCGCCCCATGCCCCTTCGGCAGGTGTGCAACCAGGGGTATCAGGACATCTTCACGGTGCCGCAGCTGGTGCGGCTGGGGTGGGGACTTGCGGCTTGGGCCGTCCCGCCGAGTCTGGACAGGGTAGCGCCGCGAGTCGAAGAAGAACAGCCGTCTCACGCGCAAATGTTCGGAGCTCCGCGCGGATGCGTTGGACCGGCTCCCCCGCCTCCCTCATCCTCCCTCCCTCCCGCTCCCCTCCCCTCCCTCCCTCCCTCCCTCCCTCCACCTCCCTCTCCCTCTCCCTCTCCCTCCTTCCCCCCCTCCCTCTCCCCCTCTCTCCCTCTTTCCCTCCCCGCCGGGCGCCCCCCTCCCTACCTCCCGCTCCCCTCTCTTCGGGCCTGCCTTCACGGAGGCAGGCCAGTCACCAGCCACTATGCAGGAGGGAAGCCAACACAAATTCCCCAGAAAGTATTGGAAAATATGGGAAGTGGGGGGAAGACCCAAATCCACAAAATATAGGAACATGCGGGGAATCCTGTTATTTGTGTCTGTTTATTTGTGTGTCCCAGGGCCGCTTCAGTTACCCTCCCCCCCCTCCTCCTGCAGGAGCCCGTAGAAGACACACCACTGCATAAACATGCGGTGGGGGCGTTCGTTAAGGAATATGCCCAGGAGGTTCTAGACCCTGAAGGATTCCGTATCTGATGGGGGCGGCGGCGGCGGTATACATGGTCTTTCCACGGTTAGAATCCCACCGGCTTCCAGAGCCTGGATTGTTTGTCTAAGGGTTCCTTCTGCAATGCCTTCAGCGTAAGCTTCTTTCGGAGTTCCGCCAGGTTTCTTGGATTGGCGCCAGGCTGCCCTGGCGCGCTCCGCGCGCCATGGATGGGAGCCCAGCGCGGATCCAAGAAATCTGCGCGGATCTTTGAACGTGTATGTTTATGCCGTTGCTTCCTACTCGCAATCCTCGCCGTCTGGGGTCGGGGACCCGACGGATTTCAAGGGATGGGTCCCCGAGGCAGGGCCGATTTCTTGTTGCGATGCTGACGGCTCCTGCAGCTCTTGTCAAGTTTCGTCTCTTCTGAGGGCTGCCTCGGGAGGAGCCATCGGGCGCCATGTGATGCTGAAACGGAGCTCTCGGGGTCTATGTTTGTCTTCGGGCGGCACAAACTCCACTAATGTCGGGTGGGGGAATGGCCTCCTTACAAGTCCGCGGCTCTGGGGCTTAGAGGGTCTGAGGCGCCGCAAGGATGACGAACCACACATCAGAGTAATCATCACAGGCAGCCGCAAATGACATGTACTGTGAGTTGTGTTACGCCGACGCCAGCTATGCCAGCTTCTTGCTCGAGCGCTAGTTGCTCCCCAACGGTTTCCTTCGGTTTGGGCTAAACTTGTTGTCTGGTTGTACACTTGTTGCCTGGCTACATTTCCATTGTACGTGGTGTGGTAGTGTCAGCAGCTTTCATTGCAATCTCCACATGGTGTGCGCGCACTATGCTTCTGCCATCATGTGCTATTACGTGCGCAAAGCTCGGGGTCATTTGGGGATCAGTTGACGCCGATTTCCAGCTCGACGCCGGCGACGCCGGATTCCAGCTCGAGTGTCGGCACTCAATGGTTTTCGTTGCTTGTGTCATATTTGGTTACGATGTGCTGTAATGTTGAGCTGAAGCAACCGCAGCCCAAGTGGGGGCACTCGCATAACGTCACCCCGCCGATGGGAGCACGCCCCTTACGTGGGTCGCGTCCCACGAGGAGCTCCAACTTCGGCCCCGATCAGGGACTCGCACCATGCCATCTGACCCAGATCGGTACACTACCCGCGAGGATCGGGACAGAATTGGTGGAGCTTCAATTAGTGCACCCTGGGGGAATGTGAATACAGTCACACCTCCAGACTCGGCACACACACACACACCACAAGAATCGTGCTCCTCAGGGAGCTCCAACTGCGGTCCCACTGAGTGAACTTGCATAGCACCACGTGGCCAAATTCGGCGCACCACTCCGGAGGATCGTGCTTCTCGGCACTTCTGGTAGCATGCCAGAGGTCTCCTCCTCTGGAAAGGAGGTCTCTGAGGGGTCTCCCCTGGTCCTCTTGGAGGTCTCCCAGGTCCCTGGGGGCCTTCTCTCCAGAGCAGAAGGCCTCTGGAAGATCGTCCTTCCCCAGACCTCCCCGGAGACCTCCTGGAGGACCAGGGGAGATCTCCCAGAGAACTCCCCTGGTCCTCCGGGAGATCCGTAAACACAGACCTCTCGGAGGACCAGGGGAGACTTCCCATATGCATCGTAGGCGCGAGGGTGTCGCCCTCCTCTTCCACCCTCCTCATCTTGCTCCCTCCTCCTCCTGCTCCTCCTTCATTTCTGTTCCTTGTAGATGACTCCTCCCCCCCCCGCACCCCCAGACGTGCCAGCGCCGCGCACGTGTGTTAAAACAGTGCGACAGCTCCAAGGATGGAGGGCGGCTGGCTTTCAAAATGTAGCTATCGCCCTAGCGCCGCGCGCATCCGCTGTGAAAGTGTGCAACGGTCTCACGGATGGAGGGCGGGTGGTTTCCCAGATGTTGCTCTCGCCTTAGCGCCGCGCACATTCGTGCTACAAGTTTGCAACAGTTTTAGGGATGAAGTTTTTTTCCCAACCCTCCTGCGTTGGGTTCTCGTTTTGAATAGAGCACTGCTCGCGCGTCTCCTTCCCATCCCCTCCCGTCCCTCTCTTCCCCCCTGCCTTTCGCCTCGCTCGTCGCTGCGTGCCAGCTGGGCGGCTGCGATCTGTGAAACTGTCGCCACTTTCGAGGCCTGGAGGGGGGCCCAGCATAGTGGGTACACACCGCGGACTCAAATGGGACCTCGCCATCCCTGGGGGGCTGCGATCTGTGAAACTGTCGCCACTTTCGCGGCCTGCTGGGGGGCCCAGCACAGTGGGTACCCACGGCGGACTCAAATGGGACCTCGCCATCCCTGGGGGGCTGCGATCTGTGAAACTGTCGCCACTTTCGAGGCCTGCTGGGGGGCCCAGCACAGTGGGTACCCACGGCGGACTCAAATGGGACCTCGCCATCCCTGGGGGGCTGCGATCTGTGAAACTGTCGCCACTTTCGAGGCCTGCTGGGGGGCCCAGCACAGTGGGTACCCACGCGGACTCAAATTAGACCTCGCCATCCCTGGGGGGCTGCGATCTGTGAAACTGTCGCCACTTTCGAGGCCTGCTGGGGGGCCCAGCACAGTGGGTACCCACGGCGGACTCAAATGGGACCTCGCCATCCCTGGGGGGCCCTGCTGGGGGGCCCAGCACAGTGGGTACCCACGGCGGATCAAATGGACCTCGCCATCCCTGGGGGGCTGCGATCTGTGAAACTGTCGCCACTTTCGAGGCCTGCTGGGGGCCCAGCACAGTGGGTACACACGGCGGACTCAAATGGACCTCGCCATCCCTGGGGGGCTGCGATCTGTGAAACTGTCGCCACTTTCGAGGCCTGCTGGGGGGCCCAGCACAGTGGGTACACACCGCGGACTCAAATTAGACCTCGCCATCCCTGGGGGGCTGCGATCTGTGAAACTGTCGCCACTTTCGAGGGCTGCTGGGGGCCCAGCACAGTGGGTACCCACCGCAGATTCAAATTAGACCTCGCCATCCCTGGGGGGCTGCGATCTGTGAAACTGCCGCCACTTTCGAGGCCTGCTGGGGGGCCCAGCACAGTGGGTACCCACGCGGGACCAATTAGACCTCGCCATCCCTGGGGGGCTGCGATCTGTGAAACTGTCGCCACTTTCGAGGCCTGCTGGGGGGCCCAGCACAGTGGGTACCCACGGCGGACTCAAATTTGACCTCGCCATCCCTGGGGGGCTGCGATCTGTGAAACTGTCGCCACTTTCGAGGCCTGCTGGGGGGCCCAGCACAGTGGGTACCCACCGCAGATTCAAATTAGACCTCGCCATCCCTGGGGGGCTGCGATCTGTGAAACTGTCGCCACTTTCGAGGCCTGCTTGCGGGGCCCAGCACAGTGGGTACCCACCGCAGATTTAACTTAGACCTCGCCATCCCTTAGGGGCTGCGATCTGTGAAACTGTCGCCACTTTCGAGACCTGCTGGGGGGCCCAGCACAGTGGGTACCCACGGCGGACTCAAATTAGACCTCGCCATCCCTGGGGGGCTGCGATCTGTGAAACTGTCGCCACTTTCGAGGCCTGCTTGCGGGGCCCAGCACAGTGGGTACACACACGCAGATTCAAATTAGACCTCGCCATCCCTGGGGGGCTGCAACTGCCACCGAGGCCCACACAGCGCCACACGCAGATTCAAATTAGACCTCGCCATCCCTGGGGGGCTGCGATCTGTGAAACTGTCGCCACTTTCGAGGCCTGCTTGCGGGGCCCAGCACAGTGACGCCTCCCAAGTAGCGACACATCAAGTCGATTGTCCGTACAAGTTCCGGCCAACTCCTCGTTTCCATTGAGACACATGGGTTGGGTACGTCACAGGGTAATATGTTGTTTCAAAATGTGGTCTCCTTTTAGCGCTGAGCACTGCCGTGAACACACGTTTTGGAAGTTTGCAATCGGTGCAAGGGTTCGCATGACCGAAGTTCCACTGTCAGGACGCATCAGTCAGGTTGATTCGCAACGGTGAAGTCCTAGGGATTGTGTTTTGGAGTGACTGGTGATTTTCAGACGGTTATCTTCCAGAGGGGTATTCCCCGCAATGAGAACAAATTTTTGTAGGGCCTTATGAGTAATGATCTTGGAGGGAGGGTTTACATCATGCCTTTCTGCATTGGGCGGACAGAAAGGCCTGGCTTGTCGCGCCCCCGAGAGAAATGATTGGAATTAGCCGACGTAGGCATACAAAAACAAGTCAAGGCTGCTTCTTAAGGGGACGCAGGTCGTGCCGAGAGAGATGGAACATGATGAGGTGACCATGCGGGCGCGGAGTAACTAAGCAGGCAGTCAGCGAGAGCAGGGGGATACTGAACTTACACTGGTCCTCCTCCTCCTTCCCGTCGTGGCCCGGCATCGGGCTGGCAGCCGGCGTTGCCCCCTTCCGTTCGCCCAGAGGACTCCCCCCGCGGCCTCCGTCCAGGCGACTCC